ATATTATAAAAATGTTACTAGATTCAAATTCATAGACAATGTCTAGATGTTTAATAGAAATAAATAAACAACACTATAAATACTAAAAGAATACTAAAAATTCTAAACCCTTCAAAATAGCTGAAAGAGAGAAAGAGATTAACATCTGATTATTAAAAATAAGTGGGGTGTTATTTCTTGTTCAATTCTAACACCAATGTGACCTTTAATTTTAGAATTTAGCCTTAGAATTTAGTTTAGAATATTGCAGTACCATGAAGTTAGAAAACCACTGATTTTGTGGCAATGAAATCAATGTATTATTAAATTCCAAGGATACTGAATTCAGCTATTAAAATTCTGTGATGGGCTAATACATATTTGCTACATTGGAACCAAATAATATTTTATACAAATATCTTTGTATGAAACAGAGGCATTATTTCTCTGGCTTCAGATGCTTTACAATCTTTTAGCACACAGGTAACCTGACTGCAGTCTATTTTAAAACATAATTTAACTTTAACTTCCCAAAAGTTATCCTGTAAATAATAATGGAAGTTGTCTTAAGCAAATAATATTTACAGATTCTACAGTTCACACCTTCAGAGTTCACAATTTGTGAAAAAGAAAGGAAGGAATTGTTTTCTTTTGTTCCATACTTGAGATGCTACATTTGTTCCACCACTTCTAATTCTCAGTATCTACAGTATTCCTGTACAGATTTTCTCAGGAGTAAGATCCAATGGTGAAAACCAAATAACAAAATAAATATGGTTTATCATGGTGAAAATTAGCCTACCTTCCCATGGAGTTTGCATCCCATCTGCCCTTCCTCGCCATCTTCCTATGGCAGGGCTATGCATCTTTGCTTCTGTTTTCAATTCATTATAATTTAAGAGATTTTCTGAACCCTGAACTCTGCTTAACTGAATTTAGCTGTGGTTAACTTTCTATTTACTTTCTCACAGCATGATTTTGTTCAACGGAGTCACTGATTGGTTAATTTTATTCTATCTATTTGTATCCTGCCAAATTGATAAAGATTCCGCCCACTTTCCCCCCATATGTTCTAGCCTTTACTCATAAGGAAGGTATTTGAGGCCTTTGATAATTGGCTCTTTTCTCGTTTTTTCCCCAGCTCTATTATATCCTTTTTCAAATGTGGTTCCAAAACTCTATATGTTATTCCAGATATGCCATACTATGGACCTATCATAGATTTGTATAGTGGTATTGTAATGTTGACAGTTTCATTTGAAATTTTGTTCCTAATGACCCATAGCAAAGACTTGCAATTTTCACAGCAGAGTTGATGTCTTCATTGAACCACCCACTATAACACCAAGATATTTTGCTTGGTTAATTACAGATAGCTTAGACTCCATCACTATATATGTAAAGTTAAGGTGTTTTTGCCTCAATGTTAATCATTTTATACTTACTAAAATGAACTACATTTGCTACCTGGTTGATTATTAATCTTATCTAAAGAGATCCTTCAGCAGCTCTTCACAATCACTTTTGGTCTTTACTATCCTGAAAAATATGGGGTTATCCACAAACCTGCCAACAAACCTCTAAATCAAGAACACTTATGAACAAATTTAAAAGCACCAGTCCCAACTCAAATTCTTGAAGGATTCCACTTTTAACCTCCTTCCATTGGAAAAAATGCCTATTCATTTTTACTCTTTACTTTTTGGTTTTAGCAATCCATAAAAGGACAGATCATGTTTTGTCAAGCCCATTAAATTTACTCAAATGTCTTTGAAGAACTTGCCATGTCAGCAGTGTTATCTCCATCCACATGCCTATTGACACTCTAAAAGAACTCTAGAAGACTGAAGTATGATTTATCTTTGCAAACTCTATGCATAGCTTCCAGCTGTGGTAAATTAAAACAGAAGATTCTGAATGCTACTTTATAATTATAACCAAGACATTTGATTGATTGGTTGGTTGATTGATTGATTGATTATGTGCCATCAAGTTGTTTTCAACTCTTAGCAACCACATTGATAGATTTTCTCCATGACAATCTAATCTGGTCTTTCAGGTCTTCCAACGGTGCACTCATCACCAATGTAATCCATCTGCTGGTCATCCTCTTCTTCTCTTTCCTACCACCTTTGCCAGCATTAGAGCCTTTTCCAGAGAGCTAGGTCTTCACATAATGTGTCCAAAGTAGCACCATTTGAGCCTGGTTATTTGTGCCTCAAGTGAGAACTCCAGATTGATTTGTCCGATAATCCATTTGTTTGTTTTCTTGGTTGTCCATGGTATTCTCAGGAATCTTCTCCAACACCAAATTTCAAAAGTGTCAATGCTCTTCCTATCCTGCTTCTTCAGAGTTCAACTTTTACTTCCATAGAAGTAACAGGGAATCCCATGGCTTGTGGAATTCTGATCTTTGTAGGTATAGAGACATCATGGCATCTAAATATATTTTCCAAGGCCTTCATGGCTGCTCTACAAGTCTGAGTCTGTGGCATATTTCTTGACTGCTTATTCCTGCTGATAAAAAAGCCCAATTTGGGCCTAGGCTCATTGCCATCATGACAAACCATTGCTTATCATGACCTCTGATGCAACCACTGTGAGGTGTGATTATCTCCAATTAAATAGGTGGAGGATTGCACTTTAAATTAACATTAGCTCTACTCATGTTTATTCAGAAGCAAGCTCTGCTGAATTTAGTAGCTGTTATTGTCAGAAAAGCATGCAAAAGATTGCAACTTAAGTTTTCTACTTTTGATCTGAAAAAGCGATGTGGCACACTTTCTTTCCTTTCCGTTTTGTTTTATGTTTGCTTCCCTAGATGGGAAATAGTAGTTATTCATGAATGTGATGCTAACGTTCTGTTTATTTCTTGGCAGATGGTGGGAACACTCCCTTTTCTGCAACCACTGGCACTGCAGCAAACATCTCTTCAGCTCCTCCAAACACCACCTCAATAGGTGACAAACCTGCACTCATTTACACGCCGCCGTAACACTGTGTGTGCGCATAGTTTTGAATGCAATCGAAGTTTGTTTGGATGAGAACATTTTCCTGTGCAAGACAATTGAACTGAATGGAAATCATGTAGAAATAGTTTCTGAATTCTGCATTCATCCCTATAATTTGATTGAAGAGCTAAGACTCATATCAAGTACTTGGTTTAGGTGTTTCGTTTTGGTGCCTTCGAGTCCGTGTTGACTCCTGGTGACTGCCTGGACATGTCCCTGAAGTTTTCTTGGCAAGGGTTTCAGAAGTGGTTTGCCATTGCCTCCTTCCTAAGGCTCCTTCCTCCTTCCTAAGGCTAAGAGAAAGTGACTGGCCCAAAGTCACCCAGCTGGCTTTGTGCCTAAGGCAGGACTAGAACTCATGGTCTCCTAGTTTCTAATCTGATACCTTAATCACTACACCAAAATGGCTTGCTAATGATTTAGATGTATCCAGTTTGTATTTCATTTTAAAGAATTATAATTATCCCATCACACTGTTCTAATTTTATAAGAAGAGATAGGCATTAAAACATGCTTACCTTAAAACAATTTTGGGTTTTTCCCCCTTATAGTGGCACTTGGTCCTTTATTTATTTATAAAATCAATTTATATGGCTGCCTATCTCACAGATGCAACCATGCAGCTAACAGCACATGAAAAACAATACAGAAAACAATATCAACCAAGCATAAAAAAGCTATGATGGTCCCTGAGAACAAACCCAATAAACAGAACAATATCAATATCATTTCATGGGCCATCTAACCTCCTATGCCTATGCCCTGGAAGGCATCCAGATCTTCAATGCTTTGCAAAAGGCCAGTGGGGTCAGGGCCACTCTCATCTCTAATCTCAGGGGACATGGTGTTCCAGAGGGCAGACTCTGTGACCGAAAGGCCTGCTTCCTGAATCCCATTAGATGGCATTCTTTAATTGAGGGGACCTCGAGTGTGACCTTCCTATCAGACTTGGTGGGACTGGTAGAAACAATTGGAGAAAGGTGGTCTCGCAAATACCCAGCCTCATACCATGAAGGACTGGGTGACAACTAGCACCTTGAATTTCACCAGAAACACACTGGGAGCCAGTGCAGCTCACAGAGCAGAGGATTAGCATGGGCGTAGCAAGGTGCCCCATAACTGCCCACATGACTGCATTCTAGACCAGTTGCCACTTCCAGGTGGTCTTCAAGGGCAGCCCCATGTAAAATGCATTGTAGTGATCCTAAAATGTAGTTTAATCCTATGAAAATATGTATTGGTCATAGAATTTCATCAGAAGGATTAATCTTGATCACTATTTTTATCCACATGCATTGTGACAGTCATTTGCAGTAGAATGAATCTCCAAAAGCAAGATTTTACAGATCCTTGAATTTTTATTCAGGAAAATCCTGACAATTAGGAAACTATATATAGCCTAACGACCATACAATGGCTGAAAAAAAAATCAGAAGGATTGATATTATAGACAAAATGAGAAGTGTATAAACTGAAAACTGCTCAGAAAACTGGGGCAAGGTCGAGTGGCAAGGAGGGCCTGTGACCAGCTTCTTCTGATGCAGCAACTGCAATTCTACGTGGACCAAGATAGCTTAAGTTGTTGTGGTCCGTATCCTATTAGCTTCACAAGTGGCTTACTAAAAGGCATTCTGCTTTTTGAAGATGGGAGCGACTTTTAAAGATCGTCTAGAAACTGCAAGGGCCAAAGAGAAATGAATGGATTATTCTGTGGCCATGCCCCTTGTAGAAACATCCTCTCCCTCTTCCATGCAGAGATCCAAAATGAAACAAAGAACAAAAGATTAAAGCTGCTTCCCCCCTTTGAAGTTCCCATCCTGATAAATCCCCCCCTCCTTGCTTGCTTTTGAATAAAAAGAAGAATTAGCTGTGAGCTATGTTTTTACAAATCAAACAGGTCAGATCCTTTCACTGTCTTGCAGTTTGCTTTATTGTACTGAATGAAGAAATGCCCATTTAGAGGACGTATCTCAAAGAACAAGAAGGAGCCTTGTGGCAATCCAAACCTATTATTACTCTAACAGTGGCAATGTATTTCTGCACGATTACTATATGGGTCTCAACTGAGTACATATATAAATATAACAGAAATGATCAATTAAAACCTGTGAGGGTGAGCTTTATAAGTGTCCTAATGTGTTTCTAATATAGTCTTAAGATTGGAGGTTGGAGTAAAGACTTGCTTAAGCCTCTCAATCTTCAATTAGCTTGAGCGATTTTTTCATAGGATGATCTAATCCCACTGCTGCTGTTCAATAATCAGCAGATCCAGTGGAAGAGGGTTGTTAAGTATAAACTGGTTCACCATGGTCTATCCTGCAAGTTGCTGTTGTCTGTAGATTATAATTCTGCTAAAAATATTTTCAAGAAGCATACTGTATATGTGATATGGAAGGTTGGCTGGAGATGAATAGAGTTTCTCATTATACTAGAATTTGCTGCTATATACTTTCCACCAAAACAGCAGATTACTCCCTATCAATAACTAAAGGTCACAGAGCATTTACACTGTGATGTTGTGATGTCTGCCTTCCACTGTAATAGAAGGAGGCTATAGGAAGGTAGGGTATGTGGAATCTTATCGCCTCATGTGGGAAGGACAGTAGAGAACAACACCTATGTCCTACTGTGCCACAACCTTCACACAGTTTTCAGAGCAGATTTAATTTCTTCCATGTTGGAAAACTTCCTGAAAAAAGAGGATGGAGGACATATTATTTATTATCTGACTTCCATTCAATGTTGCATACAAGTGCAATGTACATCTGGTCAACTGTGATGCATGTTTGACAAACATTTTCCTGAAGTTTGCATAAGGCAAAGCTTACAATATGGTTGCTCTTTATGTGGTTATCTGAACAATCTACTGACCAATTACTACTACTACTAATTACTACTACTAATGTTTTACAAGCAATGTGTAAGTCCCCCACCACCACCACCATAGCGATCTAGTTTAATAGCTGTGCAGCTGTTACAAACTCTGCAACTGATTGGAGCAGGTCCAACTGACCTTGTCCAATGTAAGGGGCCTGGGATGTCTGATCTGGCCACGAATTATTGAACTAGCTACTAAAACCACAAACAGAGATAGACTATATTCTGGAATTAAGCTATGCTTGGTGTTTGCTAGGGTCTGATGTCATTCATGTGGCAGATCACTTCAGCACAGCAAGGTTTATTTGCCACATCCTAAATACAGTGAGATGCTGAATACCCAATTATTGTTTTCATGTAATTATAAAACAATCCTATTAATACAACGTATTATTAAATTTTCCTCCTTTCAACAAGAACAGAGTGCAACATGTACATGAATGCATACATCCAAAAATATTAATATTAAATAAACCCATATTTTTTCTCTTAGGGGCATTTGCTATAAATGACTTTCTCATATTTTTGTTTCCTTCTTTGCAGAACATCATAATAAGACCTGTGGTAAGTTTTTTATGTTTTTTCTTCCTGGAAGATGGAATACAATCATTTGAATAGGAAAGAAGACCTATCAGTTTGAAAGGCGGTCTCCACAGTTATTCTTTTACAGGCTCTTGTATCTTCAAAATATACAAGACACACATATCATATGAATTAGTTATATCTTTAAAAAAAATAAAAGAGCTTTTGCTGGAGTCTTTAGCAGAGAAACATTCTCATGATCCATTCAGCTGTATTTGTGTACCTGGGAACAAAATAGGTAGCTTAAAAGGTGCAACTCAAATCCTGACAATTAGGAAACTATATATAGCCTAAC